AATTGAATTTTTGATTTTCCCGTCGATTGATTGGACCGAAGTGCTCGGTCTCAGGTTGACATGTCGGCTTCTTGTGCAGATGCTTCGACGATGTCTGGGCATTTAGTTAGTATACAATTGGTGGATGGTGGCTAGCAGTGGAATCCAGGATGCGCATTTCGTCCTATTTGGGACTCGTCAGCTGGATGTACCTGCATTTCTATGGGTACTGGGTTCGAGCCTCAGTGGGAACATCATCACTCACTGAGAAATGCAGGTACATCCAGATGACGAGTCCCAAATAGGACGAAATGCGCATCCTGGATTCCACTGCTAGCCACCATCCACCAATTGTATATTAGATAAACATTCGTTATATGTTCACTGAACCAATGATAACATAGATCAGTTTGTTACTTGGGCTTATACTCAGCTGTTATGTTTCCATTTCGGTAACATTTCAAGCCTTTGAGCAACAGATGGAATTATTAAGTCAATATTATACTGAGAACATATGCATAGTATATCTTGATTGTTCGGTAAAATGGTTAACTATTACCATTTGGTTATAACCAGCGTTCATATGGTGTGAACTGATTTAATAATAATATTAATAATTTGCTTTATTCCAGAAACAGTACTAGTGGTACAGTGCATCTAATTTTATCAAACATTTAAAAAAATATTTCAAAAAATAAATATAAAAAAGACACAAAATAGTAAAATAAAATGCGAAAAAATATCAACAAGTAGAATGGAAAATAAATAACAATAAATAATATCTTAGTATTGGGTACTGGAAGCTATGATATGTTTATGCATGGTGACAGTCATACAAGAAGTTATGAAATGATATTTAAGAATGTTTATCGCAAAAATGATCGGTTAATTTGACTGAACAACACTAAACAATCATAAAATAAACATTTCAGGTTTTGTTTTTTTATTGTCAGGTCTAATACAGTGTTTGTAGTGGTAGTGTGAGTAGTCCTGCATAATACAAAATTTTTAAGATGGCGATAACGGAGTTCACAACCAAGATTGTCAGTTAATATTGCTGAACAAAAAAAAACAATCACAAAACTAATATTACAGGATGGTTAATGACAGGACAATTTTTTAACACTCATAGTGATAATATAGTCGGGTCCAGTAGATACACTAAAAAAAGGAATAGAATAAAGTACATAAAAGTAAGCCGATGTTAATAGTTTTAGGTAGCTAAGTATGTTTAAGAAGGTTAATCGCTATAGAATACAAATAAGAGAGAATAAGGGAGAAATGAAACGGCCGAAATTATGTTATTAACAACAAAGCAAGTCATAGGTATCACGCTTAACATTGTCTCTGTCACTTAGAACACGGGCTGGCCAAATATGGTATCGTTGAGTTCCTATATTTGGTTGTACGAGCATATATATTTTTTTGAACTGATTTCTGGTTCTACCTGATGAGATGCAAGGAGAGAGTTGGGAATAGAGGGGATGTTGGGGGTCAGAGAGTATGGTTTTAGACCATTTCTCGCATGTATTCAGATGCCTTTCTACTGATGTAGTGACGAGCTGACTGAGTTTTACACCACTAGTCCTACTAACTACCTTAAACATCCTTCTCAGGATGGTATAGTCCTTTTTCAGTAACCCAGGAAAGACTAATGGGGAGCAGTAAAGTAGAATAGGTTGGATACGAGAGTTGACAAACTGTGAAAGCAGAGGTTTGATGATTCCAGATAGTCTAAGTTTCTTAATGTAGTAGGTTAGACAAAACACTTTCTCAGAAATCATTAGGATATGAGATGACCAAGTAAGGTCGGAAGACAGAACTAGTTCGAGGTACTTTGCATTAGACTCAGTTTCAACTTTAGTCCCCTCAATGCTACAGGCTTCATGAGTGCTTACTAGTGTTTGTAGATCTCGTTTATACCTAAAGGAGAAGTCAGTAGTCTAGCATTTTGAGGGATTCAGCATGAGGCCATTTAGTTTAGACCACTGACTGATGTCCGACAGGAGGCTATTTAATTTGAAGCAGTCTGACTGAGACTTAACGGGAAGCGAAACAGCCAGATCATCTGCATATCTGACAAAGTTGATTTCGTTTGAAAGAGGTAAGTCATGTAAGAAGAAGGAAAAGAGAAACGGCGAGAGAACAGTACCCTGAGGAACTCCAGCTTCAGTAAGCAAAGGAGAGGAAGCTACACCATTATATACCGTGTACTGCATCCTATTGGAGAAGTAAGAGTGCAGCCAGTTGATAGCCCAGGACTCAGTTTGCGTAAGGCAAAGCTTGTTTAACAAAAGGCCTCTAGGTACAGAATCGAAATCAGATGTGTAATCAAGGAACGTACAACGGACATACTTGGCCCCTTTGTCTAAGGAGGATAAAATGTTGTGATGAAACACAGCAGCAGCAGCGTCTAAAGTACTTCTACCCTGTTTGTAAGCAAACTGCTTTAGTTGTCTAAGCCTAATCAAATCAGGTTCATTGCTGACTAACTCAGAATCAAACAAAACATCTGCTCACTAGGCCTTACTTATTGGTTTGAATGATATCCATCTGCTTAAACAAAGCAACTAGTAGTATACAGCACCACATAGTAGTCGTTAAATTAAGATTTGAGAAGCTTAAATTTTCAGACCTCCTAAAAGGAACCTGAATATCTTGATTTAATAATGCAAAATATTGAGATCTGTTTTTATCTTTATCTGATTGTTCGGAGGATTTCATCATTAGCTGACATAGGTTATAGAACCACTTGGAAATCAGCCACGGGAAGTACTGGACAGCTATTTTACCGGCATAGTTTGGGACTCTTCTTCATCAGTGCGCACCCACCACAGGAGGTTCAAACCCACGACCATCTGGTTACAAGACTAGCGAAAACGTAGACCATCAAGCTACCCGATCCAATGGCCAGCTCATGAATTCTAGCTTCTGCTAATTCACGAGATAGTGCGACCACTTTTTAAAGTCTTTTTCTATGAGTGACTGTCCTCACCTTCTACCTGTTGTACTCTACTGGTCACGGCTTCCTACTAGAACCCTGGGTAACTACCTGAATATGTCCAGTCGCTATTGGGCATCAGATCAATTTCTAAAATACCATTATCATTGTTATTTGTTTCTTCATTGGGGGTGGGGGGAGGGTAGTTGAATACTAATCTTGGTTAGGAGTGATTCTGAACCACTATGAGGCTTTTTATCACACTCCTGTTTAGTATGAATAATTATAGTTTCCTTTCATATAAATATTTTAAAGTATAAATCTCAATAACTCCATAGTATTCGTAATATAAACCCTTGTGGTGGGTGTGTACTGCTGAGGAGTCCCAAAGCAGGACAGAGGAAACAGATGTTCAATACTCCCTACAGGTTTTCCAATGTTTCTCTAACCGATGTCATCTCATGATGAAATCCTCCAATTAATGCTGATTTGTAAGTAAAATGGGACTAAAATTGATTAAGATCATCACAACTACAAGAAACAAAAATTTTTAAAATATACAACTTCTATGACCACTTTTCATCATTAAAAGACCAAAAGTTATTTGTGTCAGTTAAATGCCTGTTTACAGATAATTAGTATATTGTGTTTAAAAAAAAGAATTAAAATTAAAAGTTCTACTTATTCCACAGTAGAAAAAGACGAAGATTTATACGATATATAATCAATAAACTGAGACCTGATTTAAAATGTTATCATTATTATTATTACTATTGTTTCTAGCATAAAGTACTCTGTAGAAATTCATGAGTAAACTTGATTGCTCTCTCTCTTTTAAAGTTAGAAAAGTCAAATGAATAATCTATTACTATTAGACAGAAACAGGAGAGAAATCTATTCACAATCTCAATTAATTTGGTAACTGTGCTGTTTTTTGCATGCACTCACACACAAGCTAACTTACAGTACGCCTACCTACCCACTCACTGTAGTCTTTATAATAACTGAAAAACGGTGCATAGAGTTTTACTGCCACCTTAGGATGTTGGTTTTCTTTGTTAATTAAAAAACTAAATAACAGTCTAGAAAGAAAGGACAACTTTTAACAGTTACACACATGCACACACACTCACACACACACACACACACTGGTATTCTTAACTCTTTTTGTGGTGATCATTTTTTCTAAAATATTGTATTACTTATGTATGTATGTATGTTGGTATTTAATTGGATGACTTACTGGCCTATTGGCCTATTTGACATTATCATTATTAATAATAATACTATTATTAAAAAATAATTGTAATTACTGGGCAGTGATTAGAGATACAAGTGAGTACAGAAGAAACAGTTAAACGGTACAATTTTATCTAACCTTAATCGCTTTTTATTTCAATTGAATGTTGCGAGTAATTGGGTGTATGTATGTACGTATATGTGCGTGCGTTTGTGTGTGTGTGCGCGGGTGCGTCTATTTGAATCAGTTACACAAACAACTATGCATGTAGGTATGCATTTGTGTATGTGTGCGTATGTATGATTTAAAGAAAGCGACACTGGCCAACACTAACTTGAATCTAACAGATGCCATTTTTTCTACTGTGTTCAAAGTTTCAATTTAAAATTGTTCAATGTTCAATATACACATGAACACTTACATACTACGCGTTACTATTCCGACTGAATTTCCAAATGATCATAAGGTTACAATTAAAAATAAAAGTGAATCTATTTAGGAGTAATTAGCATTTGGTCGTTAAAACCACTGTATTAATAATAATAATAATAATAATAATAATAATAAATAATAGTAAAACAAAGTGGTAAGATATACACAAGTACACATACACGCACACACACACACACAGCACACAGACTTAGTTCAGCATACCAGCAATTCTCTGTCATGAGTTAGTTAGCTAATTAATTAATTCATATTCACATTCACATTCATTAGTAAGCGTAAATCTGATTGCTTTAACCTAAAATGTGTCAAAACTTGTTATCGCTCTTTCTTTTTCGCTCTCTGAATGGCTGGCTGATTGTTTTCATTTTATTATCTATCACAAGAGACAGAAAAGTTGGTAAAGGAGAACAGTAAAAAAAGAAAAATGCTATATAAGGCTCGTTTAAACAATTTTTTAATTTTAACTTTTCTTCAAAGTACCTTTCTTCTAGTTGTACCAATTTATTAAAAAAAACAAAAACAAACAAACAAGTTGTAAGTTGATTTTCTTTTTCTTTTCACAATTATGTATTTATATAGCGTGATGATGCATGATATTGTACATTTAAGTCAGTAGTCTTCTTTCACACTATTAAACTATTAATGATAAATGAATACTACTAAAATGAGTAGTGTTCACTAGTTAATTCTTGGGAATTAAATCCCATCCACCCACCCACCCCCACACCTTCGAGTATATTAATCATGCGATATTATTAGTAGAATGATAATTTATTCAATGCTGAAAGGTGTCCTTCTCATGTATTGTTATGTGACTGCAGTATATTTGTATATATATATATATTGAACCCATTGAACGTGCAGATATTCAAATGGAGGGTTTTTTCAAAAATGATGGATACATTCCCATTCTGTGGTTGCATCAGTTTACAAAAAATATGTGTATATATTAACAGCTTTATGAGATAAACATTTATTCATAATCAATTCATAAATTGTTGAATATTTTACAGAAGCCTTGTTTTACATCTTCATGTGAAAGAAGGATGCATCACGAAACCATACTCAGACTGTTGAACATTGATTAAATACTTATGAATAGTTGTGCAACCGGATAGAAATGACTTTAGAGAACTAAATGATATGAAGATGTACAGTTGAAAGCCTAATTTCCCTTCAGAACACCAGGGAATTGCACTGACACAGTAGTATAAGAACTGGTTAAAATAAAACTATTAAAACCTTTCCTTCTTATTATATCTATCTAATAAGCCATTTCTCACTTTCACTGCGGTTGGGAAACAAAGTTTAGGGTGTTTAAATAAGTCGGAAGTAAATAACTACCTTAAATAATTATAAGAAGTAAATACTGTTTAAAAATGCTTCTTTTTGAGGTAATATTTGCTAAATATTTACAAAGAGTTAACAGGATGGTGATGGATGTGTTTAAAACTACTTTTGAATTTGCTAACTTACCTATTGTATTTTTGTACTAGACTGGTGAAATCGTCAAAAACTATTTACGAATATTCCATCCGTTTTTTCTCTTTTTTTTAAATTTTCTGCTCTTATCCTCCATCTTTGATTGTGATTGTTTGAAAACAGACAAACAAAAAAAAACAAAAAGAAAAGAAATAAAAATAAAGAATTGTTTTTTTCCCTTGATTAACAAGAACTTCGTTACTTATCTCTATTTTAAAGATCCTACTTAGTAATGCGTCTCATGGTCTCATAGATAGGAAATGAATAAATTCATCATTTCTCCACACTTAAGTCTTACCAAAAATTGTAAATTCTCACTAGCCCTAATACATACACACACACGCTTACAACCTATGGTGTTTTCAAGAAAAAAACCTCACCAATAGCCCAAATACACTTTCCGTTTGTATGTGTGTGTATTTCAGAATGATGAATAAAAAGTGGTATATTCCAACGATGTTCTATTATGATTCCGTGCTTTTCAACTGCCTGACTTTCAGCGCTTTGAGTCGTCACCACACTGACGGAGATTAAGGTTGCTAGATAGTGTTGTCATAGTTTTCGGGATTAGTATGACCTGAATTCAGGGGATGATATATCGGATAAATGACAGTGATGATTTATCTTAGAGTTAAATGTTTGTCGTTGAAAGGTTACTCAACGAAATTGTAAACAAGTGTCCTACAGTAACATATGAACCATTTCTAAGAAGTATAAAACATACCTGCTCAAAGATGCAGTTCTATTTAATAAGAAAGTGTCATTATACTTACGATACGTGTATCAAACCAAAATGAGGCCTACCATGAAGTACAGTTATTCGATTTATGAACCGTCACAATCTTTCAAAAATTGTTTCTGTAGTGTAAGACGATTAATACAGTGACTTGAGTAATTTTAGATTGAAACATTTTGATAAGGTAAGACACTAATAACTATGAATCATTGGTCAACTGATTCTCTTTGTTAAGAAACGATTTGCTATTTACACACATTTAAGCGTATCGATGACACAGAGGTAGAGTGCCCGGCGACCACGCAGGTGGTTCGGAGTGCTATTCCTGGCTGACGCAGTCCGTTACCTCACTTAACTCGTAGTAAAACGACTGGTAAAGAGGGAAAGTTGGGTGGGCATGAGACGGGCTAGCAACCGCATCTTGTAAAAATAATCCCCAGTACTACAGAAACTTCAAACCTCTAGCTTGAAACCACCTCCTTAGGTTCTACTGGGAGCGTAAAGGAATGAAAAGAGAAACACATTTAAGCATTTCAGACCAAAATTGAGTCAAGAATAGTCAGAGTATGGAATCAACACCTTACTATTTAGCCTATCTAATGTTTATCTAACGATGAGTAGTTATATTCTAATCTATTATAGTGGGATACCCCGATCAAACTCTATGGCATAATATGATTAGAGCTAAAATCTACCCTGAAAAGTAATCATTCTTAATAAGCATGATGAATACAGACAGATAGATGCCTTCATAAAAAAATCAACCATTTCTCATTAGATAAGAGATATGAATAGTAGCTTCCTGAGAAACTTGACTTAACTTAACTTGTTCTATCACAAAGATTGAAAAACCCATCATACAAATAGCGGAAAAGACAAACAAAAGTGGAACGACGAAGACTAGCCAACGATTTTAGGCGTGAAAAAGTTATATCCGCTTATTTCATTACTTTAGAGCGTTATAATACAAAGTAATAAATATAAAGTAAAATGACAAGCAATCTTAATCTGTGAATGTAAAAATATAACCAAGGCATTATATCTTATCCAACTCTGTTGATAGGAGAAGTTTCAAATCAGAATAGTTATAATAACAAAAATAACGCCAACAAATTGTTATTATCAGACAGTTTAAGGGGAGAAAAATAAAAGTTAGCAGTCAATCGATTTGCTTGTAGTACATTTGAGTAATACTCACATTTATCTACTTAAAATCTAAAGTGTACTCTGCTCACATTATAAAACTAGTCTGTATAAACCATAACCAAGATTTCCAAGTCATTTCGATCCTCCAACTTATGTATGAGAGATCTAACAGTCATGGCTTCTAGAATATACCTCTCGTATAAAGTGAGTGACTCTAAGTGAAGAAAAAACAGAAAAAATAAGTCACTAAAATGTAAGACTCTTTCTCTCTCCACACACACACACACACACACACACACCTACGCACACAGAGATTTACACCCTAAAGTATAAATTTTTTTGACTGTGAAATAATTGTTTCTCTTACATTTTTCTTTTAACGGAATTATGCTTTACTTTTCATCATTTCGAAGGGGAAAATTATTTCCGTTTTGACTAACTCTCAGCTGTCCCCCCCCCTCCCTCCGTCCCGGCCTTAATCATACACGTATGCATATATATACAACCCTGTTAATGAGGTGATCATGTGTCGGAAAGAGGGGAGTGTTTAACACATTAGAAGAAGGTGGGGGGGGGTGGAAGTAATAAAGCGACGAAAAGAAAAGGAAAGAAAAGAGAAAAAATATACATTCATGTTAATGGTCAAATAGGTTCTTGAAAATATCTTAATTCTATTCATCATCCTACCTACATCTCCTACAGGAAGTCACTGAGACTTCAATTCATACCTGATTAATAATTCAATGGGAGATAATTCATGTAGACAAAAGCAAATATCTTCATCATATCAATAGTGGTAATAGTTGAAATAATAATAATAATAATGACAATAATTAGTAATAATAATTATTACTATAATGATAATTATAATTCTAGTTGGATTGCGTCAAGTAGGTTGTTGTAGAAAGATTGATTATATAGCTCAAAAGTAAACACACAAAAGAAAAACAGAGAGAGAGAAAAACGCTGATGTTATTTGACCGGATAAGGAATTTTCTAATATTATTATTATTTCTTTTTGTATTCAATTCTGTTATACGCATTTTTTTATATTTTATTTTGTTTTGTTCAGTCTAGTTTAGTTTTCTTTTTATGCTTATAAGAATTACTGATTAATTAATTAGTTAATGTGAATGAATTAGTCAATATTATAAATAAATGATCAGGTCGCTTTTAATAATGGCGGTGATTTTTGTTTAAATTTAAGTAACCGCGGAAGTTTGAATTTTACGCCTAAATGCCTTATTTAATAGTTAGTGTATATTTTATCTTATCCTCCTTTATAATTTAGCGTTAACTTCTCACCTTATAATTTATATTTTATTAAAATTTAGATATGTTGTGTTGCGCGTTTGTTTAAAAAAAAGAAAACAACACAGATTTTTACGAAAAAATATATATATACATATATTCCCCTTCTGATGTTGTATTAAAACACTAGTTATGTATCATGTGTTACGTTACAATCCCCATAGGTATATGAGTAATCATATCAGAGGAGTAGGGCTGGGGAAGAGAAATTATCACTGTCCGGTCATTCATTTAGGTCTTAGAAGTAAGAGATGAAGAGAAACAAAAAGTGGAATTCGGCCCCTGAGAGCTTTCATCACTAGTAAACATCTTGTCTGTATTATAGACTAATAATCACTAAATGTTCTTATATAGATAAGCGATAGATGAATAGTAATCATTCTATGGAATCAAGAAGGATTTAAGGAAGGACTTACGGTTACTCACAGATACATTTAGGCACATTTAGGTAGGGTAAGTGTCAATAGTGAGTCGTAGTTCAAAATTAAGGCATTTCCATACATACAAGTGGACGACAAGTAGTATTGAACGCTAATACATAGATACATATATAACATTCAACAACAACAAAAAAATACTCAGCTGAAGAGAGACTCTAAAATATACTAGTTTCGATTTGGTACGTTGGTGGTAAATGACAAAAACACTAGGCATCAGATTATTTTTCTCCAGTATAATCTCTCTCTAGTTTTGATTTGCCTTTGTCCCCACTATGATTGCCTTTACAAGCAAGAACACAACTATCACAAACTACATTAAGACTTTGGGCTCCCAGAACTGTATTCACAGATTGACGTTAGTCTTACTTAACTAGGAGTATAATTAGTCAGAAACACTTCATTGCTTAAAGTTGTCAATT